CCCCCCCGGAAAATGCCGCTCCTTGGGGACAGGGGACCCTCAGGGACAGCATGAGAAACAAATTAAGGGTCTGCAGCAGGAAGAGGGAATTGGTAGGAATTACCCTACCCCCTTCCATTAGCAGACAATTGAGCCTGGATCCAGCCCTCGGTAATCTTCTGCAACGGGCTGTCAAGCACTTTGGTTACTTGTGCTGAAAAGCTTGATGATTTGTTGTGCTTTGTTTTGTGATTTGGGAATGTTAATCTGATTCTTGTTTTGCCTACTGAACTTTTCTTCTGTCTGCTCCAGGCCAGCCATGGAGGCTGAAGCACTGCCTGCCTTTAGCCTTGAGCAGCACATGGACAAGTACGATGGACCCTTGCAGTACATACTTTGGAGGAGAATGCTGAAATCAGTTGATCCAGGTGAATTTCCTTGCTTGCAACAGGCATAGGAACGGGGGCAGAATCAGAAGCCCCTTAACTTACTTAGACACAGGTGGCAGCATACTAATTCCAATGCACTCTCTTCCCAAAGCTCCTGCACCTCTGACCTTCGATCCGGAATCAGCCCATCCTAACCTGATCCTCTCCAAAGATCTGACTTCGGTGACAGAGAGAGAGAAGCCTTACTGTGTGTCCAGCAGCTCCAGCCGTTTCCTCAAGTGTGTGAATGTGCTGGCCAGACAGTCCTTTGAGAGCGGGAGGCATTACTGGGAGGTCTGGGTGGGCAACAAGGCCAAGTGGGACCTAGGAGTGGCAGCCGGTTCCATAGATCGGCGAGCGAAAGTCAGGCTGTGTCCTGAGAATGGCTACTGGGCTCTGAGATTGCGGGACAACTCTGAATACTGGGCTGCAGCTACCCCCCAGGTGCGCCTTAAGCCCCAGCGTGTGGTGAAAAGGGTGGGTGTCCTTTTGGACTGCAGGGAGAGCAAGGTGGCCTTCTACGATGCCGAGGACATGTCCCATCTCTTCACTTTCCGTCAGGCTGCGGCCTGCAAGTTCTACCCTTTCTTCAGCACTTGCTTTAGTGATGGCAATAAAAATGCAGAGCCCATGAGAATCTGCCATCTGAGCCTCTAAGGTTGCCTGGTAGCCTTTCTGCCCGCAGACCACATCCGATTCTATTCACCAGGACCTTGGCGTCTGCGATGGGAATCCTTTTTTTTGTCTTGTATCTTTGTCTAGAATAAGAAATGCTTGCTGGGGAAACACCATTATTTACTTTCTTGCTCTTCTGCTGGTGGTGTTTTGCACCCATAATGTAGAATCCATCCTCTGAATCTGAGTTGTGATTAACCAGTTCTGAGATCCTTCTGGTTTAAAAAAAAAAAAAATTCATTTTATCAACCAAACACTTTCTCGAATAAGCCTTAACAACAGCAGAGACAACCGATGGTAACATGATGGACTATACTGGAATAGAATAGGGAAAAAATGGTTTCAGAAAATTTAAATAAATTAGATGTAATTTAAATGAAGGCAATTTAAATCAGTTATCCAGATCTGCTGTACTTTCCTCTGATAATGTTCTGTTCTTTTAATGTACGAAAAAGACTTAATATCTATTGGGTTTGCTGCTGGTCATTCTTCCCCCTTCCCTCTGCTTAGGAAAGGGGGAACTAAACCTGAAGTCAGCATTCAATCACTGCACCATGTTGACCTGATTTTGTATTTCTGTGGGGAAATGGGGGTGGGGTAGAGAAGTATGTTGGGAGGGGGGGGAGAAGTCGTGGGAGAAGAGAAATGTCTTCTTAGAGTACTCAAAGGCCCTGGAACGGATACCGTAGAAGGGCACACAATTGGCTGTTTTGCATGACCTAACTCTTTGCACTTGGAGCTTATGAAACAAAATCCAGAAGTGCAGGATACATGGTGCAAAATGAACTGCTCAAGCAAATTGTGGCAGCAGCTCAGGTCAATTGCATGGAATAGCAAACACAGTCCTTCATGCAGATAGATATAGATGGGGCTGGAAGCAGGGAGGGAAGGAGGGAGACAGTATTCTGTATTCCATGCAGCCTTTCACATGGGGAAGCCTATCCCCTTCTGGATGAGAAGCAAGGCCCTGCATCTTGGGGGCATACTTGCAAGTTCTTACAGAATGAAATCCAGTGACTGCTGTTCAAGCTGCCTGCACTGACAAGCTCCTGGAGAATGCAGCTCTACCCCATACTGGTATAGGGATGTAAAAGGCCTTTCCCATGTCAGCATGCACAAGGCTGTTGAAGCAGTAGTTAGTTGTCCTTCTTAACATACATAATCTTCGCCACATCAAATTTTAAAAAATTACCTCTACCCATTCTCCAGGAGTTTTTAGTTTCACAAGCTTTCCTTTGGTTTCCACAGTTTTACGGAGGTGTGTATAACACTCAATAAATCAGTATTTCATCTAGTGTTGACATGAAATAATTTCTTCATGTGAGAAGAGCAATTTCCTTCTGTTAAAATGTTTTTCTCAGCAGGTATATGAGCTGCTGTTCCCAGTGTAGGGTACCAGTTGTCCAGCAGAGGGCTCCGCCTGTCAACAGAATGTGTGAATTGTTCGCATCAATGCTGTAACAACTGATAACATGCCTACCATATTCTTAGCTGTCTGGAATATTATGTCATTAAACAGCCTTTCTTTATCAGGTTTCAAGCAGCTGGAAAGACTAATCAAGTGGATGAGGTGGTTTGCTAAGCTGTATAACATTGAGCTTTGCTTTCTTGTTTGTTGTTTCCTTCCATACTAGTATAAACAAAGTAATGATGAGGATGAGCTGTGAACAAACATTTTCCCTGGTTCAGTCAGTGCCACAAATTCACTGGGATGCCTTTCGCAAGGCATACCTTCTCAGGCCTAGGTCCAGCAGGCAATGGATGAAGTAGTCTGGACAGTACCACTTTGATGTAGCAAGTAGGGGCCCATATGATATAGCATTCGTGCTTCTGAAACATCTGCACCTTGAAACCTAGCATGTCAGGGGAAAGGCTAGTGTTCTGTGTGCAAGGGTGGCAGGGAGAAGACATTCATTCAAGTGAAGCCCATCCAATCACTGGCCCAATCTTCAGGTCGCATGTACAACATAGGAATAGTAAAACTAGCTTAATTACAGTCATGTTGTATGTGAAACCCTTTGGATCCTTTAGAGTACACAGTGATACTTGGCCTTTATATATTTATACCCACTTAGCTGCCTTAGACTTTGAGATCTAGGAATGCAACAGCTCTTGAAATGCCATTTTTACAGTCTTATTCCTAACACCCTCTATAGATTCCCATATTAGACAAGGAGCTAAGGAGAGTGATATGTGAAGCTCAGATCTTCTTCGTGGTCTCTGTGCATCACACCTCTGGGATATAGTGCGCCTGCGCTGACCCCGATCAGTATAATGGAAAGCAAAAGGGGTTTTCGCGCCCGCTCCCCGGTCATGTGCCGGGCTCCACTGTGCATGACCAAGGGAGGGGCACGACGATCCCGCCAGTTCTCTTCTGACCGCCCCGCTGGTAGGACTCTCTCCACTTTGGTCGATAAAACTATTTCTTTTTGGCCTTTAGGCCTCGTTTTATTCTAGTTTAGTTAGGAAAGTATTTCAGCTAGATAGTGTTTTTTGGACTTGTTTCTCTACTCCCCTCCCTCCGGTCTATGGCTGCTCGGTAGGGTCTTTAAATGGCGCTGAAAGTGCAGCAGTAAGATGCCCCCCCCCCGATAGACATTCCCTTTGCCTTTTATGCCTGGGGAAAACGCACCAAGTAGACTCTTGCGCCCATTGTTCCAAGTTTTTCAAACAGACCAGGAAGAATCGGGCAGCTAGACTTCAGGTGGCGCTGATGGAAGTCGCGCTCTCGCTGGTGATGCCCTCATCTCAGGAGACGTCCGGGCATGCCTCGATGTCGACGCCCACTTCGGAATCGACAGTCGCCTTGTCTTTGCCATTGACCTCCATCGATGCAGTAAAATTGGTGCTGAAGTGCCCGATTCAGGCACAGCAGTCCAAAGCCCATACTCCTTCCAAAAAACGTAAGGAGGGCTAGGACGTTCAGCTTATCAAACTTAAGAAGCACAAGAAAGGCTCTCTCGCAGCCGCTTCGCTTGATTCAACAAACCGAGGGCAGCTACAAGGTGCACTTCTGTCACCTTCGTTTCGCCCCATCCCGTCCCCTGACTCCGACCAGGAGCTGGACTTGACCCAGGTTCCTTGATCCCCCGATGTCGAGAACCTGCAATAAGACCGAAGGACACATGTGTTCGTCCCTTCGCCTCCGTTCATCCCCGATGATCAGGATCGATCGCCGACGCCTCTTCAGCCACTGACCTGGAATCAGCGGCAGTGGCAATACCTGTACGGGGCTTATCTGTTTTCGGAATCGATGCCATAGCTTCCTCCACGTCCCCCCATAGAGTGGGATCGCCAGTCGTCGTCTTCCAGACTTTCTCGGTACTGAGATCCCTCCCCGGCACCGGAGTTCGTTAGACCTTCAACCGATAGCTAAAGGCTCCAGTCTCCAGTCGTCAGCACTGAAACCTTCTATAGATCAGTTGGAGTCGTTACCTTCGATGCCAATCCTTCAGACAATGTTCTCTGAACCTTCAAATCGCTCCAGCTCCCCTAACTCTCACTCGGATTAGGAGAGTTCACACCCACCGCTAAAGCCGTCCCTGCCGCAGCAAGTGGAGGTCGACCTCCCTATTTCGCCGTTGGAGGACGTTAAGCCTTACGGGGACTTTGTCAAACGAATGGCACACACGTTAGCTCTACCCACCATCCAGCCTCTTCCGACAGTCACAGACTCGGTCTTCGACATCGTCCAGATTGACACGTCGAAATCGGTCGCCCTTCCTATGACTTTGATCCTTTTGCAAACAGCCAAAGCTCCTTGGGCTCATCCTTCATCCATCTCAATGTCCAATAAGAGGTTGGATCATATGTACAAGATCCAAGAATCGGGGGCCTAGGGGTTACACCTCCTACAAAACTCCACAAGGGAAAACCGTGGACCAAGCAATGGTACAGCAGACCCTCGTCAAAATCTTCTGAGCCACACTGACAAAGGTCCCCTAGTCTTTCGTCTCGTCCTTATGGAGGAAAACCCAAGTTTTCGTCTACATCCCAATCTAGACCCAAAACCACTAAGAATCCCAAACAGAGTCTTTGACTCCTACCTCCTCCCCTCGTTCCCTACGCGCTTGTCTCCTCACCTGTTGACTTGGAAGCTTATTACAACAGACCTATGGGTCCTGTCAATAATCAAATCGGGATACCTCATAGAGTTTTCCTAAATCCCTTCCTCTACCCACGTCGTTGTCACACTACCTTCAGTCGTCCTCCTGGAAGAGGTTCAAGCCCTTCTCAGCAAAGGTGCTATAGAGCCAGTACCCGTAGCCTGAAATCTCATGGGCTTCTGTTCTCATTACTTTATGGTACCGAAATGGGATGGAGGCTTACGCCCCATCTTGGACCTCAGGAAACTGAACTCTTTCATCATATACAAAAAGTTCCAGATGACAATGTTACAGTCCATTCTTCCACTCCTAAAGCCAGGGACGTGGATGGTGATGTTGGACCTCAAGGACGCCTAATTTCACGTCTTCATCCACCCTGCCCATCACGGTTTCCTCTGTTTTGCGGTGGGCAATTGTCATTTCCAATTCAAAGCCCTTCCGTTTAGACTGTCCTCGGCCCCTTGGGTCTTCACGAAGGCTATGGTGGTCGTGGTAGCACACCTTCGTCTAAAGGGAGTCCAGATATTTCCCTCTATAGACAACTGGTTACTGGTAGCAGACTCACCCATGTCAACCTAACCTTGTCCATCCCTACATCTTTAAGCATCAAGGTGAACCTGCAAAAGTCAATGCTCCTTCCCACCAAAAGAGTGCAGTTTATAGGAGCTATCCTGGACTCTGTCGTTTGCAAGGCCTTCCTCCCTCCCCAAGGAGCAAGGGACATTGTCGATCTAGTGACTCGATTTCACAAGACCGGGCATGCCACGACAAAACAAATCCTGCAGCTCTGGTTCCTCCACAGGTTTCACCCACAGAGTCAACCCCAATCCCTTCGTCTTGTCTCCCCACCGACTGTTCTGGGCTCTCTGCTTTGGTAGACAGATCCTGCAAATCTCCTAGCAGGAGCCCCATTTCATCTGCCCACGTCAACACGTTGACTACTGATGCGTCACTTTGGGGATGGGACGCACATCTCAAGGGATGTCAGGGCTTGATGGGAATCCCATGTAGCCCACCATCACATCAATTTTCTGGAATTGCTGGCAGTGCAGTACGCACTCAGGTCTTTCTGACACCTGGTGGCCCAACAGGTGGTCACGGTCCTGATGGACAACACAACAGTCCTGTGTTGTATCAAC